TCCAACTACATTTTGGACATGTTGCAAGGATGGCCATCATGCTTGGGAGGCTGGAAGGGCAGCACAGGAGAGGAAGACCCTTGATGATATGGATTGATTCAGTGACTGGGGTAATGGGGGTAGGTGTGTCAGAGACAATAGGATTGGCACAGGATAGAGCAGGGTTTAGGGCTGTTATACATAGGGTCACTATGAGTCTCAGGCGACTCAACGGCACATAACAACAAAACAACACTAAGTACAGACACATTGTCTTGTAATCATCAATAGCTGAGAGACCAATAGAAGAGAGCACCTTTCACACTGTGAGAGAGGGCAGTGACAGTGGTGGGGTGATTGTGAAGAGACTGTGGTAAGGTGTAGCCAGAGGAACCCTGCATTTACGCTACACTTAAAGGTTTTGCTTGCTGGATGATTGAAGGAGAAGCTGACTTGAAACATTTCTGAGATAAAGTTCTCTGGATGACTGAGGAAACCAGAGGCTTCTTGCATTTGTGCTGTTGAACTGATCTTGGACTTTCACTAATTGAAGAATTGTGCCTTGTTAGTCTGGCTTGGGACTTCTGGAGTACAACTGGACTTGCACTATGAGATATTCTTTGCCTCCTCCACTCTCCAATCTATTTCTCTAATAAGCCTCACAACTTTAAGTCTGTGAGTCTTGCAACAAACATCAGACACAATGATTGGTATGATTGGTAAAAATAGGTGGAGCATGTGGAGTGGCATGGCTGACAATTTGTAGCTATTTCTATGGTGCTATGGACATTATTCATGGGGACAGTTCCTCGTTATGAAGCAGGTACTCAGCCACCTCCATGTGGCAACTGCTCCTTATACAGACCAATGAAAATATCCTTTATGGGGACACAAAACATTACCCATTTGTCAAAATCTATAGCACTAGACAATGCAGAGTGAACCCTAATATAAACTAGCAGCAACTCAATTCAACTTATTGCTGTCTATTCAGAACTAAGAGCTGACCCTCCAGCAGGTTTTCAGAGTCTGTAAATAGAAAGAAAGAAAACTGTCTATCTTTCTCCTGCAATGTAAACTGTGGATATTAGTTACAAATGATGTGTTATACTCATCAGTTGTCATAAACATATGTCAAGAATGCAAAAGATTAATAAAAGAAACTGTGCAGGGAAGAGGGGCATCCGAGAACACTGTAGATTTTGTGCACAGTTTTCCTGTAAACATGTAATTACTCACAATAATCAAGTAGAAAAGTCTATTTTTTATTTAATAAAATTTTTATTTTATATTGGTTTAGAAAAGTCTACTTTTAAAGACATTTATACCTCCCTTTTATCACTGATTGTTCATATACTTCACTTGCAGGAGAGAGAAAGGATCTTGAGAAATAACTTAAAATGAAATTGATGTAGTTTAAAATAAAAATTAAGCAATACTATTACTAGTATTTTTTTGAAGCTTTGGGTGGTGCAGACAGTTGAGCATTGAACTATTAATAAAAAATTAATTAAGGGAATCCACCCAGAATTACCTTGGGGAAAAAGACCTGGTGAACTAATTTTGAAAATTCAGCCAGTGAGCATTATTTTTCTAAGCCATATATATTTTAAATGAAACAATGGACCAAATATATGTAATTTAGAAGGTTTGGCTGATGGGTCTACACAAAAGAGAAGATACCAAGTCAAGCTACATCAGGGAAACCAGTTTTATTTTTATTTTTTCCACATAGATAACTTCATGTCAGCTACAAAAATCATGAAATGAAGAATTGTTCATGAAACTGCAAATTCAAAACCACTGGAGCGATAAACAGGTTTTCCTCAGATGACTGTTAAAAAAAATAGCCAGGATATCATGAATTCATAGGTAAGTAGTAAACATGTGTCATATATTTTAAAATAATAAATATAGAACAGCAGTAGAGAAACTAATTGCATCAACAGCATGAAGTATATTTTATTTAAGACAGATGAAATTTCTAGGCACAGTTTTAGGCATTAAAGAGGACACAAAGGCATAGGTTAGTGTGTGCTGCTCTGTACAAAAATACAGTCTGAATAAATTACATTGCTAGCCATATGATTAGACGTCACTTATCAGTCAGTTCATTGCATGTTTAATATTATACAGGTACATGCTAATCCATATATATCATTTCTATTTCAAACACATAGGTCTCTCTATATTTATGTCTTTAAAATTTACATGTTGAACTTACAAAAAGCTTAATAGTTGTGCAAGAAATCCAAATAGCTAGCCCTGCTGTGTACTTATGCTAAGTGTGTGTCTGTGTGTGTCTGCATGTGTACACGCATGCATACACACATATGATAAACAACAGGTCTGTGGTTAACAATTTTGCTTGTTAGAAAATATCAGACAACTTAAATATGCAAAGACAATACTAATATATGTGAATACTTCTCTTATGTTTATTCTGATAACCAAAAAAGTATTTTGGATAGGCAACAATTATCATGGTGAACTGGGTTGATTAGTAATGAAATATTTCCCAATATCAGGGGAAAGAGAAATATAGCAGAGGGCTCAACACTAGGAAGGGGGGAAAGCCATCTAAGAAATCTGTTCTTCTGTAAACTGCAAATATGTGTGCCTTAACCTGTACTATATTCTGTCACTTCCCAGTTTGTCATATTGACAGAGAGACAATGAAGGCTTGGTAAGTTTCAAGATATGATATTTGTCTAAAAGCACACTGCATCCTCTCCTCGGACTAAGAAAAGTACTTTATTGGTGTTAGCACCAAAGTACTGTTCTATTATTTAGGAATAAACAGATCCTCTCACAATAGAGGGTGTTTAGCAGTCAAAATCCTTATCAAATATCGTATTTCTCATGCTGTTCTGACAATATGAAATTAACTGCAAGCCAGTCGCCTCAGATTTCACTATTTCTCAAGAAAATTACTTCAAAAGATGCTATAAGACTAATGTCTTTCTAGAAAATTTCCCCTCATAGTTGCTTATGATTCCTTACAGAATCATATGCTTCTATAAAGATTTCTTTCCAGGATGCATTTAATTGTTTTCTTACCCTCACTATAATAGTAAGCCTGGTATTTAATGTTTAGTTTATGATTCTATAGAAAATTCACAAGATAGGATTTTCTTTTCATAGCATTTGAATAATAAAATAAAGTTTTAAATTTGTTAGTTATTTATTTTTGGCTGTTGTTTTTGGCAACAGTTCTTAAGACAAGCTGAAAGCAGAACTCTGCTTTGGGAGGTAAAACAAATTATTAAATACTGTTAACATGGTCCTGTTCTTATGAAGATTGCAATATTGCAATATAACAACACGTATGTGTGTTTTAAATGATTTCTCCAATACTTCTTTCTGCAAGAGGGCTCAAACCAGGACATACTGTTTCAGGGTCTTTGTTAACAAAAATAATTATTTAGAACCTTTATATTAGAACTGTATATTTGATATAAAAATATTTTTATAATTAAACTACCCAAATTTGTATATGAAAGAGAATGAACACAGATTTGCAGTGTGAGATTAGGTGCAAACTTGTTCCCTATTATTTTGAAATTTCTTCCATTTGAACAATGAAAGATGCCTTTAACATAAATGCATCATAATTGTGTGCACGTATCAGTCAGCCCATCAGTTAACTTCAGAGGACCAGGTAACAACCAGATACATTCTACCCTTCTAAAAACAAAACAAAACAAAAGAATCCACTGCTGTCCATTCGATTCGGACTCATCTACTCCTCTCTACTGAGACATTTATACAAATCTATCACTATTCTCTTCTTAAACAATATTTAAAATACTTGGAAAAAAAATAGCTTTCTATTTTAGTGAATTTTCAACAAAATTATCATCCTGATTGCTACTCTCTTTATACTACAGTGTTTACAGAAGACTCATTAATTTTTCAGATTAATACCATTTCAGTTTTTCTATTTATGAAAATCTATGAAAACTTTTCAGCGAAAATTGTAAAGGACATGGAGCAAAAGCTTTAAGATATAAATACTTTGCATGGCCAATAAGTGTGAATACCAATCTAAATGTCTTAACAATGAGTACAAGGTTAGTGATCAAACAACTTCACAAGAGCAAATATCAATTTTTATGTGTAACAGGTGGACATATGAATAGGGCTGGGGAACAATTTATTACCATTTATGCTAATGCTTCACCATCTATAAAAATAGTTAAGCTCATTACATATGCACAATTGTTTGCTGCAATGTTTGGTAAATGACTGAAAGGGTACTTAGGACAGAAGCCACTCATGCATGTTTCTTTCTAGTTGCCCCAGGGAAAGCAGAGACCCTCAATTTCCCCCCCCCCCATTCTCGATATGGCTGAGGCACAATTTCTAACCACATAATGAAAAGCGCATGTGTCCAAGGCTTGACTCCCGTACACAGGGAGATGCTGATTACCAAAGCATAAACTCCCATTAAAAGAATATTCTTGAAGGCGGAATGTGTACCATTAACCAGTTACAGTCACAACTCCTGTTAGAGGATGAAGAGCAGCTGACTTTTCAGGAGCTCACTCAAGCGCATAACCAATGACCAAAGCAGCCACTGGGTGGGATAAGCAGGCGATTAGGGCTCTAGCAGTGGAATCCTTGTCAGTGCAAAGGAACTTCTAAATGGTGCTTATTCCAGCTGCTCCCCTGCAGGCAATAGGAGATTCAGGCATTTCTCATTTCCAACTAGTTTCTCACAATGGTTACTGTCATATAGACCCTTTAACTTGTCAAGGAAAATGACACGAACATATTGGAAACTCGCAGCATTTGCCTATGTCTAATCAGCTCTCTTAATTTGTGCAGGTCCCTAAAATGGATGTAAAAAGCTGGTTATGATGTTGACAGCCAAAAGGCAAACGATATTAAATCAACTGAGCAAACTGCTTGATGCTCGACAATTGTTTTAGAAAATACTGAGTTAGAAAAGATGCAGATGTAATCCTTTTGTTGGATGGTTGTTGGTGGTGGTTGTTTTTAATTTGAGACTATTGGTTCTAGTAGTAGTCTTCGTAGTTTTTAGGGTTCAGGCAATAAAGGATGGCACCCCCAAACGAAAATATAGTTGAACCCCAGGCCAGGCCATAACCCCAATTGAACTCATGGTAAATTTTCAAGCTCACAGTTTCAATGAACTTGATGGGGTAAAGGACCAGGCTGCAAACCTGTAAAACAACTGAAAGAAAAATCAAAATTAGAAAAATGTTATTTACAGGAAATTACATTATATCAACATATAAATATACATACAATGTATTAAATATATATAGCTACTGAAATTCCTTTTTATTTTTTTTGTGTGTGTGAAATTCCTTTTTAATTAAATATACACAAACCCCTCAAATTTGGAAGTCTTGATTATTCTAGAACATATCTGGGTAGTCCCCATATTACCAACATCTGATACACAAACAGCTTGTAATTATGACCTAAGCAGCCCCTAAAATCTATGATATAAAAAATTTGAGGGACACGTAAAATACTTCATCATAACAACAAAATTTTATTTTGCTATATCCATCAAAACATTATTACTACTGCATTATTAAAGATGTTTTGATGACTCTGGAAGTGTCTCTTAATATTTTTTTATACATAGAAAGGTACACTGTATATTATGTACTAAGCAAACATTTAACTGATATTAGATAAAAGCTATACTTAGCTGTTCTGATCTAAATACAAATTTGACTTAGATAAAAATTTAAGATTATGATTCTGGGAACTGCCTGTACTTTATAACATTAACAGTTTCTCTTTGTTAAACATGCTTTCAAATATAGTAACAGTTCACTTATTAAAAACTAGTATGTGGTGAATAGTACAATATAATAATTTATATGAACATATGAAATAATGATGTGTCATCCTTGGTTTTTGCACTGTTACTCTTACCCTGAACACACTGATCTCAAGGTGTATGCATCATGAAATGATAAACAGCAATGAATGTATTTGCCTTCGATTTTACAAAGATATAATCACTATTTTGATAAATAGTACTAGATTATTTTAAACTGTTTTTAAAGTACACAAAACCACTGACCCTTAGATTCAATTGAAACTTTCATTTGGTTATGCATTAGAGGAATTGGGAAATGTAAATTTCTTTCTACTGACAGAACTGATCAACCTGTGATTCAAGACATTTGCTGTTGTTGCTTCTCAGTATCATCTTAGTTCAATATTCAAGCAAATTCTACCTTGATGCCTTTTTTTAATTACTTTGATCCCAAGCTAAGTTAATTTCTTTTCCACCCATCCAGTTCATCCATCTTATACTAAAAAAAAGAGCTCAAAGAACTTTTATATCTGAAAGCCACACTCTATTTTCACCTTCCTGTTACATACAACTTGTAGCCACACATTACATTTCTGTGCTTTTTCAAAAGATAATTAAGTCGTCAAAGGCATGGTAGAGAATGGCACTCGTTATTTTAGGCTAATAATTAATGGCTATAATGCTGTTGTTAAGGAGCTCTGGTGACACAATTCAGTAATTTGACCCCACCAGCTGCTCTGCAGAAGAAAAGACCTGGAGATCTGCTCCTATAAATAAAGATTACAACTTAGGGAACTCCACAGCCCAGTTCTTCTCTGGCACATAAGGTCGTGATTAATATGAAGTGACTATTGCTAATTACTGTCAAGCAGACTCTCGCTCGTGACAATCCCCTATGTTAGAGTAGACCTACTCCATTGAGCTTTCACACCACGACCTTCAGAAAATAATCACCAGGCCTGTTTTCCAAGGCACCTCTGAGGAGATTCAAACTGCTAACTTTCCAGTTACTTGTTGAGTGTTTAACCATTTATTCCAAGCAAATACTCCTTAATAGAACACAAAACATAGCTCTTAGCCGTCAGAGTCAGGGCTAAAGGGGAAATATGATGAGTCATAGCTAATAAAAACAAACCATTTTATCAGGAAGGGCACCATATTTTTTTAATACCTAAAATTAAAGTGGTGTTTATCCTGTAGCTTTTTTTATATGGAAGTCCTACACAACAGACATCCTCCATTCCAAATTCGTAATTTGCCACTGGATCAACCACTGCTGTTGTTGTTGATTGCTGTCCAGTTGAGCATGACTCATAGCGACCCTATGAACAAAAGACCCTGTTCTATAACTGTTGTCATTTCTCTAAGTTCATCGAGTTTCCAGAGACATGTTATTTTGGAAGTGGATGCCACTCCTGCTTCCAAGGATCAACCACTAAATATACTTTATATAAATGGATGTAACTAGAATTTATGGGATTTATCTGCTTCATTCTTTACAATAGGATAGCCTTAACCTTTAAGCAGTAAACAATTTTCTCCCCCCCAAAAAAATCTGAGGTACAACTGTACCTCAGTTATTTATAACAAGGCTTGGCAAATTTCCAAATATGGTCTGCTGCTTGCTTGTGGAAAAAAGTTCTTTTGGAACAAAGCCAGGCTCATTCTTTTAGGTATTGTCTGTGCTACAAAGGCAGAGCTGAACAGTTAAGACAGAAACTAGACAGAACACAAGCCAGAGCCTTTTGCTATCTGCCCGTTAAAATAAGTTTGTCATCTTTTAACATATAAATATACAGTTAAAATGGTTATTGTTTAGATCACCCATAAGATACTGCAAATTCCTGAAGTACAAGAACGGCAAAGACATGAACAATAAAGTTTTTCAAAGACAGGAACACATTTCGATATAGAAAAATTGTAAGCGTTTACGAGATTTTTTCAAACGGAGTAATCGGAATAACAGTGTCATTAATGAAACTGAAATTTGGTGTTTCAAAATCAATTCTCAGACCCTACAAAAGAGGATTATTTCAAATACAATTCATGTTCCTACACAGTCAACACAAATCTATCCAACATAAAATTGATGAACTACAGCACATTCATGAGGGTGTGATGTGCCAAAATCATTACTTTCTCTAAGGCTGTGGCTAGGGGTCAAATAGTCTGTTTGAAAGTAGATATAAGAATTCTAAACACCTCTGTCATGTACCTCCACAATGCTCCAGGGCAGCTCTGACCTCTTATACTTCTGTGTTACCCCTAAGCCTAGATAGATAAATAGGTCCATATAAAAGGAGGCACTCTCTACACCCACAATATAAATCATGTCTTGTTTGTAGTTATAAAAGTCTCAGAAAAAAAATTTAAGTTGTTGTTAGGACTCAGCTGATGGCATATTATAAAACCCACACTTCATCTATTTCCAGCCAGCAAGTGCTAAAATGTCTACACATTTAAAAAAAAAAAGAAAGAAATCTGCTGGCTCTGTGCCCTTATGAGGGAAAGGGTGTTTTCATGTTTTAACTATCTTAATACTCACAAGAAGTCAATTACTATCAACTGCGAACTACAGGTAGAAAGGGGGGAAACCATTATTAAAGTTTAAAATAAAAAAGGGGGGGCATTTCCCCTTAGTTTTTCTAAACTCTGGTCTCTAATCATCAGGCCTGCCAAGAAAGGATTGAAATAGGGAATTGATTTAAATTTGGCAAATGTATTTATTTATTCAATAAGTATTTGAATGTTTCAAAAGTGATCAAAGAGACATGACTGCTACCTTTGTGGGTAAGCAGTCCATTAATTAACGGATACAGAACATAATGCCAGGCACTGCTAAGAGACAAGAGAATATCCTAAAGCAGGAAAACAAGATACAGGAATGGAGTCTGCTGTTTTGGGTCTATGAGAGGAGAAGGCCTCTCTGTGGACATAATCATGATGGTAGTGAGGGAAGCAAGTATTTCAGGGAAGGGCAGAAACCTCCTGCTGCAGGAGACCCTGTGGGGCATAAGGAAAGATCAGGGGGCAGGTAAAGGTATGCCTGCAGTACAAAAGGGCATGGGAAGGAACAGCATGAGAGAAACAGGCAGGGAGGCATTCACAAAAGGCATTAGGAATGATATTAAGGAGGCAGGTCTTTATTTCTAAGTGCAAGGGGCTGCCAAAGGATTCTGAGCAACAAATAACAGATGTGAATTACATTCCAAAAGCATTACCCTGCTTCTTTTGTGAACTGGCCAGTCACAGAAATGAGGTGTTTGCCCTGACTGCTTTTAATATTTTTGACAATATGCTTTATTTAGCAACTAGGTGTGTATGGCTTCTGTGGTATAATCTAATGACATAATTGCCCACTAAGTGGAAAAGGGAACTGCAACTCCATTAGACTCCACTGGCATACTCAACTGAACAGCACAAGTTCATTGTGAAATAAACCCTCATTGTGCTACCTATGGTCAGAGGAAAATTACCCCAAAAATGCTTTTATGCCTACAGATTATGTTACTATTTTTTCGTTCTTTCTTTCTTTTGAATCACATAGAAAAATACATGTTATAGCAAAATGGCGGGGGCAGGGGGGAATCACCCTGGCACTTGTAAATATTTCTTTTTGGCATTTAACAAACTGCTTACTCTCTCACCCACTGCTTTCATGTTGATTCAGATTCACAGGGATCCTATGGAACAGATTAGAATGGCTTCATAGGGTTTCCAAGGTTGTAAATCTTAATGGAAGCAAACTGTCACATCCTTCTTAAATAGAGAGGCTGGTAAAAACAAACCACTGACTTTTTGGTGAGCAGCTGAATGCCCTACCTAAAGCATTATCAGCAATCTTTAGAAAATAACAAAATATTAGGCACGCACATCATTTTACACATATAAAAAATTGCCAATCAATGAAACACCATAGGCATTGGCTGTGGTATTTTCCAGTTCTGCTGCAGAGACAACCTAGGTAGCACTGCCTTTAAGAGTTTAAGCAAATTTGGGGTTCATTTTATCGCAACTACTTTTTGGAAGAGGCCACAAAACTATATACAGTGAAACTGTATAAACAGATGCATGGCTAAAACTTAAGAGTTATTAATTCCTATGTCATTTTTTAGAATATTGAGTTTCTAAGGCGAATTTTTTCATCTAACCCTCTGGTGGATTAGCTATGGGGTCAGTTCTGACTCGATAGTACACCACAAAAACATGTCATTTTTAGAATATGGGGCTTCTAAGGTGATTTTTTTTTCTCTCCTACATTCAATCATTTAGTACTTTTCCACATTGAGATTATCAATGGGGAAGTTTCTCTCTTTCTTTACAGAGGGAGCTATCTGGGACAGAAGAGAGAACCTTATGTATTACCCAGTAGAACTACACCTTTCCTTAGCTGC